TGGTCAATTATATTTATATGTACCGTCTGTAGAACAGTGTAGATACAGTAACTCCATCCTCAAAGGTGCTTTCAGCCTATATTTTGTGGAACTATTCTGAGATAGTTTGTATGTATGATGATGCTTAGCCTCTGGGCTTCAACATGTGTATCCTCTAAGAATGAGGACATTCCATGTCATAAGTTCAAAATGCTGATCAATTCTGCAACTTGCTTTTGTAGCCTTTCCTTTTTTTATTGTTCTTAAAACATTTTCTTTAAAACTCATAAAAATATGTGTGTGTGTATGTGTGTGTGTGTGTGTGTGTGTGTGTGTGTGTGTGTGTGTGTGTAGGATCACCATGCTCTAGTGTGCATGTGGAGTCAGAAGACAACTTTGTGGAGCCTCTTCTCCCTCTACCTTTCTGAGGACCCTGGTGACTGAACTCAGGCTGTCGTGCTTGGACTGCACGTGGCTTCATCCGCTGAGCCACCTCACAGACCTGGTTGTTTTGAAAATTGTCATTTGAACCAGGTCTTTCGTCACTTTTTATGTCTGCTCTTTATGTCCTTTTCATTTTGAAGAGTATTCACACTGCTGCCTTTACTGTTTTGTTTGTTTTGTTGACTGGTTTTTTTTTTTGGCCTGTGATTAATTACTTCCTTATAATTGATTGCTTCCTTATAACTACGTTCAGGTTAAACATTTATAGTGGGGAGTATGCTGTAATGTTTATTGCAACACAATAAATGATATCATGTGAGCTTGTTCCAGTATCAGTCCAGGTGCTGACTGCCAGGTCTCCCCTCTATAAAGGCGTATTGTCCCCCAACAGAGCTGAACTTACTCAAGAGGTAATACTTTGAAACTCTCTCTCATACGTTTAATACTTGTTAGCATATGCTTATGTTTCTTGCCTAAAGAACACCTGCACTGAAAATTATAAACCGGCTTTCTAATTTTCTTCCTCTTATATGTTTATCTGATCTCCTGTCTACTCTTAGCTGTTTTTACAGTAGAGCCACATCTACTAAGGTTTAGGGGTTTTTTCAAGCATGAATTCCAACCAAGCTGTTATTAGTCACACTTCCATCAGTGTTCACACTGTCTCCAATTGAACAATAGGTGGTCTTTCAAGACAGCTGCACAAAATCTTTTTAAATAGTCATGAGATTGTTTTTTGTATTTTCTAAGAAATCTGTATTATAAAAGAGATTGTAAAAAAAGTGTTTACAAACTTTAATAGATGCATAGAAATTCGTTGGTATTTCAGTTGGCATACAAAATACTGGATTATATTATTACACCTTCATACATTGTTGATCTTCCTCTCCCAGCCCTTCTTGCAGCTCCTGATGCCACACTCATGGTTTGCATTCTTCATGCTTATGTTTGGGCCCATTCTCCTTCTTGAATTAGTTTTTTTTTACATGATATAAGTTAGAGGTTGAAATTTGTTTTGTCCAGTTTCGTATGCTTGTCCTAGCATACTTTTCTGAAAACAAACTTTATTTCTTTATTCCATTGCTTTGATATCTTCATCAACAGTCAAATGCCAATATATATATGTGCATCTATATGGGACCCAACTATATCTCATGATCTATTCATTTATCCTTAACATAGTGGCATACTGTTCTGATTGCTGAAGCTTTATGGAAAACCTTTAAGAGACACAGCCTTCTAGTTTGGTTCTATTTCAGGATTGCCTTAGACATTCTCATCTTTGCATTTTTTTATAAAAAAAACTTAAAAAATTTTTCTTTTATTTTTTTGAGATTATATCCCTTCCCTTTTCTACCTGTAAACCTTCCCTTCTTGCTCTTTTTCCAAATTTATGATTTTTTCATTAGTTTTTGTTATATATGTTTATATATACATATTTCTAGATACATAAACATATATATATATATATATATTTCTAAATACATAAACACAACCCGCTCAGTCTGTATAATATTATTTGTATGTATGTTTTGGATACCCAGTTGCTGTACTATTCCCTGGGGAAGATTAGTCTCCTGCTCTCAACAGTCTTTAGTTTCCTGTATTTCTTTGTGTAAAGAAAGTCCTCATGGTCTTTCCCATCCATGCTCTCCATGTTGACATGTCCATTGTTATTGCCCTTGTTAGCCTCAAGGTAGTCAGAGTCATGAGACTATGACTGTAGCTTCTTACATTCATGGGGGACACCATCTCACAGCAATTCCTTGATCCTCAGCCTCCTACAATCTTTCTTGCCCCTCTTTAGCATTGGTCCCTGAGAGTGTTTTGTATCCACTGGGACTGGGCCCACAACTCTGCATTTTAACTGGTTGTGGGTTTCAGCAGTGGTCTCCATCTGTTGCAAAGAGATGTTTCCTTGGTTAGGGGTGCACTTGTCTGCTGAAGTTGTGGCTCTGTCAGATAGGATTGCCATGTTTAACGCGTATATCAGCAGAGTAACCTGGGGGAAAATAGAGATGCTCACATGGTTTTGCTGTCCCCTGAATCATAGCCATTAGAAATTGACATTCGTCATTTACCCTGTTCACAGTTTACAGACATTGACACTGTCTCTTCATGTCTCAGCCAGATCAGATCTCCCTTGAGAAGAAACCATTAGCCCTTTCTAGGGAAAAAAAAAAGAGTGCAATAAAGCAAAGCAAATATTTCAACTTTGTAGACCATAGATTTTCTTCTGCAGATGTCAGTACATATAGAATAGCAGAATTCTAGTAAAACTTTCAGAAATGTGATTTGGCTGACTTAATGTGAGCAAAAATAGCTAGTACAGAGACTTTAAACGTGTGGGTATGGTCTGCCTTGTCTCTTATGTTCCTCCATCTTTTATGACAAGAAAATGATTATGGTTTATGTGGTCTAAGGACATGGCAGACAGGGCAGACCTAGCCCTAACGTAGTGTGAAATCAAGGTGTGTGAGGCAGGGTTGCTTAGCTGTGAATTTGAAGACCTGTGAACTTCAGAGTGAATAAAGGTTGTTTTAAGTTTTATATAATTAACCTGCCCAGCCAGCCAGTAGTAGGATGTTTTGACCCAACTGACATGGAAAATAGGCAAATACTTTCAAATTTTAAAGCATTGCTTTCTTTTTACAACACGCTGAAGTTGATTCCTTACAGATTCTTAGAATATTTTTGCTGATTTGCCGATTCCAAGGAGAAAAGTAACCCAAACACTGTGAGCTGGTATCACCCAGTTTGGAGGAACACGAAAGAGGGCTGTGGAGATTCTTGGCCGATTCTGTTCCGAATTCTAACAGCATGACATGTGGTTTTAGTTTTAAACAAACTGTGTACAAAGTACATTTGAAAACTGAGGCAAAAGGAAAAGGAGAAAAATAAAATCTCCTCACTTGTATATCAGATTTTCTAGAATCAGATATATCATGAATACATCTTTTAAGAAATTAATTTTATAGTCATGTATATACATATGTATGTGCTTCATTTAGCATTAGAGTTTTATTACAGTTATTATAATTTAAGCACTGTCCTAACTCATAAAGACTTGATAAAGGATCCCTGTGAATCAGTCTTCCATGTCTATTCTAGGAATATCCTTTTCTGCTTGTTCCTTTTATTAAATAGCAGGTTAATTTCTGATTGAAACTATTACAGATATTTATTTTATAATTAGAAATTTTGTTGAAAGGCTACACATACATGTACATCAATGTAAAACAAGTGAACACAGGGTCAAAAGGTAGAACTTAACCAAGTTCCCTAGACACACTCCTGCTTTGAGCCTCCAGTCACGATGCCTTGCTCTTCCTTCAAGGCAACTACTAACTGACCTCCAGTACAGTAGATTAGCTTTCGATTAAATGTCTGTGATTTGGTTAATTTCTATAACCAAAGTTATACTATATAGCAAGTTACTATACTATAACTATACTATAGCAAGAAGTATATTGTAAGATACCAGTTCATATTATTAAATTGCTTTTTTTTAAAAAAAAAAACAGTGTTATATCATGTCAGCATGCGATACAAATGTATGGAGAGACGTTTGTGCCTGAGCATAGGAAAGTGGAGAGCAGCCACAGGTGGAAGGGGAGAGAATGCGGGAAGGGAGTAAGACGGAATGAGACCACACTGCCAGGGGAATCTTAGCAATCTGTTTAAGTTCTGTTTCTTCCTAAAAATGATCTTGGCCTGAATGCTGCCTGCCAGTCATGTGACAATTAGAAAGTGAGCATATGAATTTGGACACAAGTACCACCCAGCTTTCTGTCCACATTCATGGTCAAAGCAAAACATGAGTATCAGCGGGGCCTAAAGCACGAGCGTAGTCCTTCTCTGGATGGGAAGCTGGGATGCCCAACAGTGCAGCCACCCACTGTTTCCATTCCGTGACCTCACCCCATCTTTGAGGACTCTCCTCATTTAGATGACTCCTCTGCAGTCTGATTCTAGAATGAGGCACTCCAGGTCTTGGGGAACCCCTATATAGAATCATAACTTATGTAATTATCAATCTGGTGTTTGTATAGTGCTTAACTTTGGGGGATATAAATCCTACCTTCCTAGGAAGAGGCCCAGAAAACATACTTGTCTATGAAAAGGTGATGCGGAAATGCCAAATTTAATGATGTCTCTATGGTAGGAAACAATTCCTCACAGGGAACTATGTTATAGTTAGTTTCTGTGTGCTGCTTTCACATCTGGCCCATGGATGATAACAAGACCATGGCGGTTTATCCACTGTGTGACACGAGAGCTGACTCCGGGGTCCGGAAAATGCTTTGGCATTTGTGCCTAATACCCCATCTTCACCATGTCCTACTGTAAACTTGTTTTCTTCTTTCTTGACATTCTTTTCTAAAGCAGCCACTTAGTAATATGGAGTACAAGTGTTGCTTCTTATTTTACTTCCTCTCTTCTTTTCTCTCCAAACATACGTGTCTGATGACAAAGCACTGGGGTTCAGTTAGACTGAATCTCCCAGGGGTGAGGGTAGCATACTAGTATGACACCAGTATGGGTTTAATATGGATTTTCTCTTTTGTCCTCTACAGGTTGCCTCTCACTAGGGATGGTGGAGTTGAATGGAGACTCCTTCAGTCCTCCTCCAGGATGAACCACCTGCCAGAAGACATGGAGCGTGCTCTGACCGGGAGCCAGAGCTCACACGCGTCTCTGCGTGACGTCCATTCCATCAACCCCGCGCAGCTCATGGCTAGGATTGAGTCCTATGAAGGAAGGGAGAGGAAGGGGATCTCTGACGTCAGGAGGACTTTCTGCCTCTTCGTCACCTTTGACCTCTTATTTGTAACGTTACTGTGGATAATAGAGCTAAATGTAAGTTGTTTTGCTCATAATAACTTCTTATTTCCAGAGATATAAAAATTTACATTTTTGCCTCACCCTTTTTGTCTTATTTAGTGAATTCCATCTTTTTTCAAATGATGCAGTGTGACCTGGCTCCAGCTGACTTAATCTTTTCTTTTTAGTGTTAGTGTAAACATACCTGGTGAACTTCAAATTCACTTCCCCTGGGATTATGAAATTTGAATTCCTGGTGCTTGTCTTAGTAGTAGAGAGCTGGAAGCCGCACAGCCTGTAGCACAGATTCGGCTGTCTGTCTCTAGGAAGCTTCGCTAGGACACAGCTCTGCTCGTTGTGCAGAGGCTTGTTTATCTATGTCTGTATTCTGCTTGAGTAGCTGAGGAAAACCTGGCTCAAAAGGCAAAAATGACTATTTGCTGGGCCTTAAACCAGATCTTCATCTTAAGACCAAATCAAAATGTTGGGCGTGGAGAGATGGTTGAGTGGTTAGGAGCACTGACTGCTCCTCCAGAGGACCCAGGTTCTATTCTAAGCACCAACGTGATGGCTCACATATCTATTAACACCAGTCCCAGGGGATCCAATGCCCTCTTCTGGCCTCTAAGGGCACTAGGCAAACACATGGTGCAAAAACATATATTCTGGAAACAAAATACCCATATACGTAAGATAATTTTTAATATTAAAATATAAGTATAAAATGCTTCTGAAATATGCATTCTTTATTATGTCTGCTTTTTAATTCACTTGTTTAAGATTTTGCAAAAGAGATCACTTCTTCATATTTTATTAAACAAGTTCTAGAATAATTTGGAGAACTATGCAATTATGCCACCCATTAATTATCAAATATAAATATGCAAATTTTAACATATATTGTTTTAAATTCTCTAGTCGTACATTAATAAAATTAAAACAATCAGGTGAAAGTTATTGTACTACCACACTTGTCTAAACTAGATGCTGTTATTCTTAAAGCCTTGGGTCTGGGTGCTTGTGTCGCCCACTCCTAACCCAAGCCTTCTGGAAGATAACGCCTCTGTGCACACACCGTCTCGCTTATTTGCCAGTGGTTCATTTCATTCCTCCCATTCTGGTCTCCTGCTTTCACACCGGAACAGACTACAACTTACCTTAAGACCGCTATAGTAGTATTCCTTCTGTATAAACTGATTAGTTTTCTGTATCCTCTTGGAGATTGTGAGAACCTATTGTGCTGGTATCAGTGTAACTGTCACCATTATTTGGTCTGTCCTGCCACTGTGTGAATCTGTGTGTTGTGATTCTTTGTTGTTGTTGTCTTTTACACACTGGTAAACTCCTAAAGACAGACATTGTTTTACTTTCTGAAGTTTTTCCTGTATCTGAAGCAATGCCGGCATGCAGTAGGTTCCTGGCAGATACGTTGTGAATGAGTGAAGATCGCTGTAGCAGTGGTGAGCAGCTGGATTAAGCTAAAGGCAGGTTGGCAGCAAGCACACAGTCAGAAGCGGTGGCAGACTTGCTGAAAGTCCATTTGTATCCAACCCGGTGTTTAAGACCACTTGTTAATGGAACTCAGAACAGTATAGGCACACTGTCCCTTACCCAAGGTGTTTGGGCTCAGAAGTGCTTCAGACTCCAGATTTTGAGGGTATTAGAATATTTACATAGATATAGCAGGATATCTTGGGAATGAGACCCCATGTAACAACAAATTTACTTATTTATACTTTATTCACATAGTTTGATGACCAGGTTCCACCCTTTAATGGACATGAAGTTGAACTGAAACTCTTCACATGAGGTCAGGAGTGTAAATTCCCACTTTGCAGGATGTGTGTACTTAGACAACCTCGGGTTTAGAAGCAGTTTAGTTTTCAGATGTGTGGATAAGGATGCTCGGTTTATTCTAGACAGATGATTGGAAAGAGATGTGAACTGTGGCTGGTCTTCCTGAGAACCCTGAGCCAAAGATTGTTAAATGAGAGTTTAAAGTACAAATTTGGATTACAGACATAAATGGTAAGAATTCTGCTTGTAGGCAGCAGAGAGTCAAGATAAAGTGCACCTGGATAGCAAAGAGAAGCTTTTCCCCCTGACCAGTGTGCACCCAGGAAACAGAGGCAGGAGGGAGATGTCCATGCTTGAGAACCTTCTTTGCTTAGGCTGCTGGAAGTAACCGTTCTTTCAATATTCTGGGCGGCAACTTTCTGTAGTTTGCAGAGCACAGCGTGAGGTTAGGTGTCTACTTGCATGTGACTTCTCTTTTCTTCTACGCTTCACGTGTGCGGATCAGTAGCCCGTTAGGTCTATAGCTGATCAGTGCTTGTCACTCAGAGCCCTAAACACCTCAAGAGTTGTAAGGCACAGACTAGTGGTCATGCTTTGCCTCTATTTCTTTAGCAAATGCAAGTCAGTGGGATAGCTAAGCCCCCTGCCCTTTTCTTTGTGCTTATTTCTATTCCAAGTTGAACAATTTTGGAATCTTGTGAAACAGTTCTTCATTAATTCCCCCTCTTACCCAGCTGCCCATTTAATTGTTCTATCCTTTTTTCAGACTCTCTGTCCTTAAGACTGCATTTGTAATCAGAAATTCATACTGACCAGCTGAGCCACAGCTCAGGGCTGTAGAGAGCCAGCCTGGGCTGCATAAATGGCCTGGAATATGTCTCCTACTTGATTATTACCTTAAATATTGCTCTGCATAGTTTGATCTGTATAATTCTTTGTTTGACCATTTAAAATTCATTTTGGTAGTATGAATAACAAATAAAAAGTTTATCCTGTTGGATTTTATTGTCCTCATTCACTATAACTGTGTTATACATGATTGTAGATCAAATCTGTTCCTTTTTTTGATACAAGAAAATCTATGAGTGTCAAATTTTTAAATGTCAAGAGCAAATTAAAGCAAAACTAGCCACAGAAAATGTTGGCAGACATGACCTGTGTCATGGCAACTGGCCTTGGGGATGGTTACTATGAGAGTAGGGTCCCTGGCTCTTCCCAGAAATCTGTGAAGACAAATCAAATTGATAGTTTTTTTTGTTTGTTTCATCTTTGAACATTTCTGGGTTCCTGGGAGATCTGCAGGGAGTATATAGAAACCTTCTATTTAGTCTCACTCACTTCTCTCCTCCTTTGGTTTCTCCTAGGTGAATGGAGGCATCGAGAACACACTGAAGAGGGAAGTGATTCATTATGACTACTACTCTTCTTACTTTGATATATTTGTGAGTACTTTTATATCTTAATCCAGATATAATAAAACGGACACCAAGAGGCGAGGTCCCTTGAAATAGGCCGTAAATGTGGTCTGTTTCTCCTGTGAGCACGGACCCTGGATCACCTGCCCACTCAGTGTCCTCTGTCTCTCTAAGAAGTTGATGGCACAAGAAGAGACAAGGTAGATGAGCGACAAGAAAAGCTAGCAGCGGGAGGCTCCCCACACTTAGCCTCCCCTAGCTGGGGTAGACACACTGAAAGGCCCTGGTCCCAGGGAGGAAGAACTAGTCCCTCTCTCTTTTTTTCCGTCTTCCTATTTATATTGATAATAAGGACTTGATTTTGAAACCTTGGCCAGAAGGATCTAGGGCCGCAGTTCCACACTTCCACGTGATGGTCTGGTAGCCATGACTCTCGGGGCTGCCCACAGCTGAGTCAGAAAACGATAGTAAATTGTAACTTTTCTTACCGTTTCCCCCTCAGCTTCTGGCAGTGTTTCGATTTAAAGTGCTGATACTTGGATATGCTGTGTGCAGACTACGCCATTGGTGGGCAATAGCGGTGAGTGTGTGGCATGGTGGGTCATTTCCAGGTCTGGTGGCCAGGCTGCTCATAGCAGACTTTATTGAGAGGAGACAGGATCTTAATGAGCTCTAATTTTATCAGTTTTTTCTAAATCCCCTTCTTCCCTCACTTTAGAAGGTTTAATTTGCAGACCTTGTTGCAGTAAAGACAGTTGGTTCAGTTACTGGCATGGTCTGTAGTGAGCAGTCTAGAGACCAAGGAGGACACACCAGCCAGGCTTCTCCTCCTCCCTCTCAGCTTTCAGATAAAAGTGGAGGGCAGCGCTTTCAACTGAGATGTGAGGAAAATGCCTTGCTTTTGATGATACCCCCCGCCCTCAATCCCCACCCGATGGTCTATATTAGTTACTTTTATCACTGAACTAATTAAATCAGTGTAAGTAATTGCTATATCGACGTAAGCAACTTGAGAAGGGGAAGAGTTTCTTTGCTCACAGTGTGAGGTGGGAAGGCATACATGGAGTGTGAAGTCGCTGGTCACGTGGCATCCGTGGTCAGGAAGCAGAGAGATGGATGCTGGTACTCAGCTGACCCCAGCCCCTGGAACGCTGTTGCCACCATTCAGGGTTGGTCTTCCCCCTTGCTTTAAACCCCTCTGGAAACACCATGACAGACATGCTCAGAGCTTTATCTGCTAAGTGATTGTAAGCCCCAACATGTCTTAGACATGCCAACCAACTGTCAAAGAGGAGAAGGCCATTGTCATTCACTTCCTTTTGTTCCTCAGGTTTCTCCAGACCAGCAGATCACCTCACAAGTCCCTTCTCTGCCTCTAGCACAGAGATGGAGCACATTCTTTTCATTCTCAGTTAGTACAAAGAAGCTGAACGTTAGAGTCAGTTGGTTGTCCGTATCATTTTTGCCATGTCTGTGGGTGTCCTGAGTGATGCTCATCCCTGTCCACAAAGCTAGTGAGGCAGGTGGGGGACAGGTGCAGAGCTGTTGAGCTCCTTAAACTAGAGGGTGCTCAGGAGCAAGATGAAATCCGGCAGTAACAGTCTTCACGGGGCTGGTGTGCGTGGAAGCAGTACTGCCCAGGAAATAGTCGTACAGGATGGCTCTGCCTGTGCCGCCTTCCACACCACAGTGTGCAGGGCAGACTTGCTGTCACTTGGAGTCTCATTTCCAGGACGTAGCTGACCATTTGTTTTAGCAAGTCCGAATCCTGTCTCTTCTGCTACAACGTGGTGGTTTTGATCATTGTACCTTTTCATTTTGCCAGAACATTCTGCATTTGAGACATTCAGTTACAGAGGCTCCATGAAGAGTCATGTTTGCCAGACTGCCCGTCTCGGCATTTCTTATGGAAGAGATTTGCATGGACTTAGGCAGGGTGTCACAGTAAAGCACCTGCTTTCGTTTTCAGATAGATTTCCGCTTAGATTCAAATGGTACTGTGTTTCATCTCAGATAGTATAAATAAGGAATGGTCAAATTCTATTTTTGTTTCTGATTATTCGATTTATTTGTAGAAAGGGCAAATCAGATAAGACACCTAAGCAATCAGTATCAGTCTTCAAAGTAAATTATTGTCTGCTATTGAAGTGTTTCTCCCAGTGAATTACTTTGGCGTGTGTATCTGCTTAGTTGTTATAGACAAAGACTCAGTGTGTCTTGGCCTCCATCCTGCCGGTCACTTTAGTCATTTCTGCCCGTTGCTCTCCTTAGGCTTCTCCCTGCTGAGGTCTCAGTTGGAACAGTGCTCAGCATGGTGGGGTTGCTCTGGGAGTCACAACCCTCGGGATAGCTCTCTCTCAGCATGTCACCTATCCTTTCTGACATGTACTAGAGTTGTACCTCATACTGACAAGAAGTTTCCCAGCACTTTAGTTGGGAAGTTCTACAGTTCAAGAGTAGGAATGTTGTAAACATCTACCGAGATCGAGAGCCATAGGAAATCCATTTTCCCCAGAACGGGTGTTTGGGAGAGCACAGATAATGTGGGGAGTAGCCGGGCTTAGCACAGTTGGCTGAGACACTGTCTGCTCCTAGCTCAGCTTTCTTATTGAGGGAGGAGCCCTCACAGTATGAAATGCCCTGTTTGAGCAGTGTTATGTTGTGTGTCTTGCAGTTGACGACAGCAGTGACCAGTGCCTTTTTATTAGCAAAAGTGATCCTCTCAAAGGTATGTATGGCTCTCCTTCCCTGTATCGTTGCCCTCTGCATGACGGAGCCCTCCTTGCTGTGTGAGCTGATGGTGACCACTTTCCCTCAACACCCCTGTCCTCCAGCTTTTCTCCCAAGGGGCGTTCGGCTACGTGCTGCCCATCATTTCCTTCATCCTCGCCTGGATTGAGACCTGGTTCCTGGATTTCAAAGTGCTGCCTCAAGAGGCAGAAGAAGAAAACAGTAAGTTTTTTCCCTGTCAGCCTCCCAGGCTTACACACACCACGCTGTAGGGAACTGTTGTGACTTCTTACTATGAGGGATGCTTCGGGGACTAAACCGAGGCAGTTAGGCACCTGTCCCTCAGGGGCTGTGTCAGAACTGAGGGGAAGCGGGTGGATAGGTAAGCGCAGAGTGGCCCCTCTTTCTGGCTGCTGGACCAGGCTTCCCCTAGAAGGTATGGCCTTGGTCCAACAGACAATCATACAATAACAAAAATAGCCACTGCTTCCTTCCCACTCCCTGGGTGACTTGATCTTTACTCACTATAAGGAACCCTGTAGATCGCTAAGCGTTTATACAGAACGGAACTGTCCCTTTCAGGGACAAAAAATGGTGAACAATTTTAAGTGAGTGGGAACAGCAGTTTTAAGGAAGCCAGTGGCCCTGCAAAGTGTTTTATTGCAGTGCATACAGCAGGCTTAGGATGGGCTGCGGATAGAACAGACAACTAAGTGCCTGGCACTGGGACCATGGTGGTTCATTTGGAGTTCAGAGTAGAACTCCAGCTATAGCAGGGCCCTGCTCTTGTAGCTCCTGCTATCCTCCTGTGAGTGACTGAGTGACATCTGGCACCATAGTCTTCTAAAATCTAACCAAGCTGTTACATAGCCACATGGTATCTACTGTACTAGGGTGATTAGGAGGAAGGTCAAGTGGTCCATTGAGAGCTATGTGGTTGGTTCCTGGCCTGGGTTCTTCTCTGTTAGTTAGTGGAGGGAGACACAGTGCTGTCTGCCCCTCTGGGCAGTTTAGCTAAGAATGCTGTTTCAGATATATCCCTATTGGACCCTTTCCCAGAATCTGGCTCAGTTTGCCCTAACAGGAAAAAAAATCTTGTGTTTTATAGAAAATTAAACATAATTATAGCTCCAAAAGCAACAGGATCAAGAATCACTTTACATGAAGTTTGATTTGAAAATCTCTCTTCACAGAGAGAGGCTAACTCAATTCAAAAGTGAATTTACAGAGTATACTAAGCAGCGTTCTAAGATTCTTCTGCTATTCTGTGTTCATTGTCCTACCAGAGATGGGGAATGCCAAGTTAGCATAGGGAGGCCACTTTTTATTACATACAAACACCAAACTGAACATTATTGAAAACGTATCACATATTCACATGACTGAGGTTTGAATGGTTTGTGATTAACGTTGTTTCACAGTATCTGGTAAAGCTGGACACAAAGGCTGGAAATGGCTCAGTCAATGAGGGGCCTGCTGACCCACATGACAGAGGGAACCGACTCTCACAAATGGTTTTCTGATTGGACACTGTGGCACAGGCTCACCCCACACAGGCACACATACACAAATAAATAAACATGAACAAAATTAGAAAGAAGTGAAGCAAAGTCACCCAGTATCAGAAATAAACCATATAATCCTCACATATAGATTCTAGTCTATAATGTATATATTAAGTACACACATACACACATATCTGTAGGTACAGTATATATGTAGAAAGATGAGCTTGAATATTAGGTGCTGAGAAAGGACAATGCGGGTTAAGGACACATGACTCATGAAAGAGGATATAAAGCTAATTGTTTCTCTGATTTTTAACTTTTTCCCCTTCTTTTTGGTGGTGGATAAATGCATTAAAATGTTACTGACATAGAAAGTGGCCGTCCTTACTGTACACCAGTTCATAGAGAGATACAGAGTTCAGTACTGGGCAAGTGTTTGTTGAGTGGCTAGACTCATCTAACTGCATGATATTTTTATTTGTGAGCTTACTACAGTAAAGTGATTTTTACATTAAAAAATGAAAACACAATTCATGGAGTTCAAAGCAGCATTTTCCATCCCTGCAGCAGCACAGGGGACACACCTGGTGCCTGCTCTGTGGCGAGGCGCTTGCTACCACAGTTCCTAACGCTGACACTGATTTGAACAAGAAAGCTTCAAGGACGGATGGTCTCCCTCCTCATCTGAGGCTCTGTCACTCCACTCTTTCCATGAGAAAAAGAAAATAAAATAGACAGCAGGGCTAGAGCAATAGCTCCGCTGTTAAGAGTGTGTCCTTCTCTCACAGAGGACCTGAGTCTGGTTCCCAGCACCCAAGTAGGGTGACTCACAACTGACTGTAACTCCTGCTCTTAGGGACCAGATGCCCTCTTCTGGGCCTATGAATATCTGCACCCACATGACCATACTCCAACATGGATGCAGACACACAAGCATCCTGGAGCACATGCTTGCACACACTCACATAATTAAAAAATATTGAAAACTAAAATAAGTAAATAGCAGTTTATTGTCTGCAGCACTCTCTACATGTTGGTGGTTAAAGGCCATGTAGGCATCACAGTTGACATCTGCCGTTTCTCTAACCAAGGTAGATGATAGACCATTTGTCCATGCTGGCTCAGTTTTGATTTCACTTTGTGAAATTAGTGTTAAAAATTGGTGTTGATGTTTGTAGTGAAATAAGAATACTCGAGGGATTGAAGCTCTGAATACTGAACCCAGGAGTAATTGGAAATGATTATTAAAACTTTTTTTCTGTTTTTCTTTAATCTTCACAGAGTTGATGTGTAGTTTATTAATGAAATCTTTATTTGATGGTTGAAAGATTTTCAAAGTACCTTGTTTTGCTAATAGCTTATTTGATGTATTGAAATACCATTTTTATAACAGTTAATCTTGCCAGGAAGATACCAGCAAGGTGGTGTGGCTCTTAACATCTGCATTTCTTCTCTCCCAGGACTCCTGCTTGTTCAGGATGCGTCAGAGAGGGCTGTTCTCATCCCTGCGGGACTTTCTGATGGTCAGTTTTACTCCCCTCCTGAGTCTGAAGCAGGTAAAGAAAGCAGTCCCTTGCCATTTGTGTTTGGTTTGTGTTGAAGCCTCTCTATTTTTCCCTCTTCTGCCTCCTGCTCTGTCTATTTCCCAGTCAGTTCAGCAGATACTGAGCATGCACTGAGCATGTATAAACTAAATAGGGAGAGTCTCTAAGGAGACCATTGGTGAGACAGATCTAAAGAGAGGAATGCTGGGATGGCATGGATACTGGAACTTGTGATGTTTGTCCCAGAAAAGAAGGAATAAGGGAGCAGACTTGGTTCTGTCCTCATTCCTCCATCCCTAAACAAGTCTTCCTCTAGGGTTGCTCATGGCTGAGAGGCAGCTCCATCTAAGTGCTCCTATCAGGAAGTGTCTCAGGACTGCCTCTCTCTCTCTCTCTCTCTCTCTCTCTCTCTCTCTCTCTCTCTCTC